TTCCTGCTAGACTGTCTGCCCCATAACAGCAGAGCATAAAGGTTTTAAATAGTTAGGTGGTACATGTATGGATCTCAGACTGTGAATGTATTTTTCCAGCTATATTTAAATGATGCAGTCAGGGTTGTTTGAGACTGAAAGAACTATTAGGTCATCCAGTTTATCTCCCTGCCAAATACACTCTTGATTCCCTGATGCCTCTGCTAGTGCTATAGCTAGCCTTGAACAACACTGAAGATAGGGTTTCCACAACTTCCGTGGAGAAACAGTGCTGTCGAAATGCACAGTTCACAGACGGCTTGCCTGGATATGTTGCTCTTTGCATTCCAATCACATACAAACTTTACCTGTCCTTGCTTTCGAGTCCTGCTTGTGGCCGACCCTCCTGCCATCTGTCACCTATCCTAACTCTGTCAAGCTGTCTGCTCCAGTCTTTACAAATGCAGAGGGCTTTGGGGGGGAGTATGTGTGTTTCATTTTCAGCTGGAGATGTGTTCAGGGTGGTGGCCAAAAGAGCCTTCCCCTTAGCACTGACATGGTGTGTGTGTGTTGCAAGGTATGAGCCATCATAGCCAAGCATCTGCTTTGTCCTCTCCTGCTTGTCCATGTTTGTTGTAGTTGTGTGTGGCCCTGCCACCTCAAGTGCTTTTGCCCATGTTGTCCAGCATGGTGGGAAGTTCTCCCGTAGGAGCACTGTCCTCTTTCAAGTCACTCTTTTAAAATGGCTCTTTCATAATGATGCTTATTAAAAAACAGAACAAAACACAAAACAAACAAAACCAAAAAGCACTCTACACTTCAGTAGCAGGACAGGTTCTGTACTGATACCACCACCTATACACTGACCCATCTGTTTTCTTCTTTTGTGCAATCTACTACTGCCTGTAAGTGCTCGTGCCCTTCCTGGATTACAAGCTGCCTTTTTCTACCCTGGTTGAACTCAGTGAGACAGTGGTCCATGGGAACAATTTCTAAGTGCTGCTGCACAGCATGCAGTTGGGAAGAATGGACTGTGATGGTTACACTCTGGTTGTATTTATGCTAAATACGCAGGAGAAGTTTTGGCAATGTTAATGAGGCCAAGCAGATTAGCCTGGAGGATGCTCTAAGAAGCAAAGAGATCCATGCAGCCTTCATCAGCACAGAGAACAGAAGCCATGAAGAAACCATCAGGTATTTTGAGGTGTTTTTTTTTCCCTTTTCCCACCCTTTCCCCTGTAATTTAGAAGCATAGAGGAGCTGTGTAAAGCTGTTGCAGGAGAGGAGGTGGATACTGGAGGAGAGACTGCCAAACTAGAAGCCTGAAGTGAATGATAGCGAGTTCCCTAGAGCACCCAATAAGCCCTGGAAGAGAGTAGGATTTAAGATGCATTCATTTCCCAAGTAATTCCAATTGCATACCTCTAGGCCTGTGTTTGATGGACAGGCAGCTTAAAACAGGATTCAAAGCTTTTCCTCACAGATTATGTAGAGGAAGGGCACTCCAGTGCCCCACTCCAGCCACTCAAGTGTCTGGAAGTTAGAAATTGCAGTGCTCAATGCTGCGGCATTTTAATGACTTGCTGTAGGTGAGTGAGGGACTTCTGTGGAAAAAGGAGAATTAAAACTCAGCTCTCCTGGTGTTTAAATGTGTGATGTAGCCACCACACCATTGTTGCTAGGAAACTTGCCATTTATTTCTATTACTCCGTGTTGTGCATTTCTCTATATGGGGCTGACTGTGGGAATGGGAAGCAGCTTGCACAGTGGAGAGAGATGATTATGATGATATACTTTTTAAAGACTGATCTTGTATCCCTTTCAGAATGTTTTTAGAAGCTGGGAAACATGTCCTTGTTGAGTACCCCATGGCTTTGTCTGCTAAGGCGGCCCATGAGCTCTGGGAGATGGCTGAACAGAGAGGTAATGGCATTTGTTCTCAAGGGTGTAAACAGTATTACCTGTTTGGTAGCACCAAAGGCATCAAACTTAAAGGCAGGGCTCCAGTCTACTATTAATCATGACATACAAGGGAGTATGCCTGTCTCAGAGATTTGTTAATCTAGGATTTAAGACATGTGCCAATAGGGAAATAAACACACAAATGTCAAGGCTAAGAGTAAGGTACATTTGCCCTCACAAAAATACTGGTCTCTGCTTGTGACACTAAGAATGCAGTTAGAGAAGGAAACTTCTGTCGCAGTGATAGTAAAGCACTTAATGGGTATAGCCACTGGACTTGTGCACTTCCCTGTCCTCTCTCTCCCTGAAAATAAAACTGGAAACAGCTCTCCTAGCTTCTAGAGTTTGTGATGTGCTGGTCGCACACAGCTGCTCATGCTGTTGTAGGCCAGCAAGGTATCCCTGTCTGAAAGACAGCTTATCTCTAAGCAAAATCTCTTTATTTCTGGAAAGCGTGTGGTCCCATCCCTGTGGTGCCAAGTGTCAGAAGCTGGCAGTTCACTTGAGGCCACTGGGGATGTATGGGGCTGCAAGGAACAGAACAGTGCTGGGCAGGAGCAGAGTGCAAACCGTTTGGACAAGCTGCACTATTTATACCACTGCTTCTTAAAAATTTCTTTTGTGACTTTTGTCCTAAAACACCGGAGATACAGGATTTCTGCTTTGCTGTTTCCCTGTACCAACACCACTTACTGTCTTGTTGCTCGCCAAATGGCTTCCCGTTGAGCAGAATTTATGGCTCTTGTCTTGAAGCAGCAGCAGTTACTGTCAGCAGCCTAAATTGACTCTCCTGGAAACTTTCCAGAAAAACATATATTGAATGAGGGCCACATTCAACGTGTATTGGATAGCCTCTATTCCAAAGCAGCCCAATTAATTGCAATGGAGGGAGGTACTCCTTAACATATTGTTACAATCTGGGTCTGAGTATTATAGTATTTGTTTCCCCTTCTTTTTCTTTCCTACTACCCTGGGAGAAAAAATGCAGAACAAGGAAATGTTGAGGGGAAAGAGGCCAAGAATTAATCCATCTTTTACTTTGAAGACTCATGTTTCAGCCTTAGTTGGGTATTGGGTTTCATTACAGAGTTTCTGTTAAACATAGTGGCTACTGTTCCTGCAGTCTCTATATTTGTCGTCTCCTGAAAATCCTTAACCCAGATGGATGCCTTAGCACAGGGCCCATGCTTGTTTTTCTTCCTGACATCATTTTGCCAGCCATGCGTGAGAACACTTCTAAGTGAGTTCCCACTGGTGGCTGGTGAAAACTTTAATGCTTAGATGTGCCTTTGATTCACACAGAAAGCTCTTATTTAATCTGTCCTGATTTTTGGTGTGTTTTCTTTTTTTTTTAATGGCAGATAAAGTACTCCATGTGGAGCACGTTGAGCTTTTGACTGAAGAGTACAAGCAGCTGAAAAAAGAGGTGGCTGGGAAAGACCTGGTGAAGGGAACACTGCATTTCACAGGTCAGTACCTGTGAGGAAATCAAAGTCCATCTGGATTTGTCTGTCTGCTCCACAAGGACACAGTCCTTCCAGGCTTCATTCAGTCCTTTTAGACAAGAGTCTGTCTATAAACTGACTAGACACAAGTATCAGTTCTGGATATTTCCATGAAATTACAGAACTGACTGGAAAGCACCTTTGCCTTAACAGTTGTCTTCTACGGGCTGTTGCTTTGCTAATCTCTTTCTGCTATCTGGTGAAGAATGCAAGCCCGTGCCTTGTTGTATGGAGGAGAGAGCACTTCTTCATCCTTTCTGTACTTTGGTGGTAGTGACCAATTTCTCATTCATATTGGTCTCAGAGAGGAGGATGAGCTTTGAGGAAGTGTTCCAATTTCTAGTGGGGACCTTTAGTCTTCCGTACTGGTGTTTGGCCCCAGAAGAGCTGGGAGAGATTTTTAAGCCGTTGTTTTCTCCTTACTTTATTCCCTTGTTGAATCCACATACACCCTCCTGTCCTCAACACGTCCTGAAGGGTTTGTTGTATATGTACTTTGTGCAGCCTTCTATGGCATAGCTCATCAACTGGTCCATTTCAAGGTTGACCATGTTTGTTGACTTTCCTACTCAGTCCATCCATCCACCTATGGCCTGTCTACACCCTGGTCTCTAAGCCTGCAACGCTGCAGTTGCTGCAGCCTTTCCTATGCAGAAGGCATTATCCTCTTTCCCGTTTCTCAAGACTTTCTGTTGCTGTTGCATCAGGTAGCGTCCTCGATGAAAACAAAACAGGATTCCCAGCTTTCAGTGGAATTGCCCGACTGACTTGGCTGATTGACCTCTTTGGAGACCTCACTGTTACCTCCGCCACCAGAGAAAAGCAGAAGGATAAGAATTATTCCAGAATGACTGTTCACTTTCAGACGGCAAACAAGAAGTGAGTAATGGCCGTGGCAGCAGGTGAGCCAGGCTTCTCGGGTATCGTCTGCAGGAGTCCTGCATCCTCTCTTCCTCTTGTGGAAACAGAATGGGTGGATGCTGGCATTAAAGTGTACAAGAGAAACAGACCTGAAAATGCTTCCTGTAGTAATCACGGGAAAAAGAGCCACCACCAAACAATGTCTGCTGAAGAGCACAAGGAGGTTTAAAAGCTCTTTTCTGGTGTCTGAATGTAGGAATGGGCCCATAATGCATTTTACCATGCCCAAGACTGAAAGACCCTTCTCTTGCACTCTGAAAAATTGTTCAGAGGCAGGATATTTTTTATTTAGCATCAGACATTCTAGCTGTACATTGAAAGGTTGAAAATATATGACCATTTGAAAAGGTAATGCACTAGTTATAATACTTAGCTTATAGCACTATAATGCTTGTGCTAATATGTAGTACTAGCTGGAGGTTAAGAGAAAATTACACATTTTGAGCTGAAGTATAATCATAGAATCATAGAATAGTTTGAGTTGGAAGGGACCTTTAAATAATAAACTACTGAAAGGCCAACATGCAAAGTTTCCTCTTGACTAATGTCTAATCTGCAGTCCTGAAGTTTCCTCGATTTTTCCTGGGTAGGATAACAGTCTGTTTCCCATTTCTTGTCTTTTTGCTTTTGTGGCATGAGTGTGTCAGGCTGAGTGAGAATCCCACAGCCAGGATTACTTGTCATTTTTTCCAATCATTGCACTATGACTTTCTTGCAGAAAACTCTTTTTTGATGATGCGTTTTATAATAATGAGTTTGATCTCCCTTTTATTATATGATAACAATAGCCTTGCTATCAAATATTATATTTTTAATGGCCTTGCTATAAAATAGTGTATTTTTAAATATTATATGACCATGAAGTAAGTCATCAGTGTTTCATACTGTGGATTCAGTACTCAACTTGGTGCAAAGTCTGGTGATGTAGTTTGCTGGAAACTCTCCAGTTTGGTCATTCTGGGCCATCTGTATGGAGGTCATGTCCTTTCAGATAGGTTGAAGTTACTTACCATGACAGTTTACTGCATGCTATAGATGCGATTTGAGAATTGTCTGACGTGAAAAGGTACAGAGAAGTTACCCAAGCTCTATATGTTTCCTAGGAGGTAGGAATGGTGATGGAACAATTTGTTCCTTTCCCTTCACTCCTATTTTCCTGTTTTTCCATATAGGACGCTCTGCCTTTGAGAGACAGATCACCCCCTCATAGGCATATGACAAGAGGCAGATGAGAAGACTAGGGAGAGCAGGGGAAAATAAGACCCCATGGGAAAATATTCTGGCCTTTCTTCGTTTGTAATAAATTATCCTTGTTTGTTGCACTTATACTGCTAGAACACTTAAACCAAAAAAAACCCCAACAACAACAAAAAAGAAAAAACCACCAAACACGAATGTTTGCTTCTTTAAGAATTTTAGATAAGTGGTTAGTTAAAAAAGTAATAACCTTGAAGGACTAGCTATTTGGGGAGTGAATAATTAGGGCTCATTGGAACTGTTAGTTTCACCACGAGTCTAGTTAAGCATTTTATCAGCCAGTCCTACAAAGCCCACTGCAGTTTATCATGGGATTAGCATCTTGTCTTAGCAATCTTCCTCTCTCTTTAAATAAAACATCATTTCCAATTCCTTTTAAAATGCAGTTGTGAGAGGACAGAACTCGGTATACAAGCTCTGTTTACCCTCTTAGCAATTTGCCAGCAACACGAGTAGCTGTAAAGATCTATATAGAGTGAGATTTTGAACTAATTCCAGCAGGTGGAACTAGCGGGTGGCTTAAACATTTCCCTGGCTGTCCTGTCTCCTAGGTAGCCCTTAGCTGCTTTGTATGATATTTGCTAGATACAAAACCGTTTCTGGATTTCTGCTTTTTTCCCTGCTCTACACCGCTAACCAGTACTCACTTTTCTTAGCCCACTGCTAACTATTTGTATGGGTCAGTAAGTGTTTTGTCACCATGAGCTTTTTAATAACCTCGGGGACAGTCAGCTTTATGCCTCTGGGATAATTTACGCCAGCTGGAAAGTTACATAGCGTTCCTGTATTCTGTTCGGTGGC